TGCCATTCCACATTATTACAAATAACTTCATTTCTGGACATTTATGGTTTGATTTCTTTGTATGTATGGATCACTTGGGTTGTTACCGACATCTGGTGAAATTTTTATGTCATTAGCACCTCTAGTATATTTACTGAGAAAAATGGTGACGTGTTCAATACTTATTTTACTCGCTGTATCAGCAAATTTGGTCTGTAACAACACATCTACCCAACACTAGATTATTCTCGCATTCAGGCACTTCTTGTATCATTTGRAGTTTGAAAATATTCAACATAAAATAACAATATATAAGTCAAATGTAATTTATACAAACTTTTTGTAGCTGTGACCATTTTAGCTCATTGTACAGTCCTGAAACTGACACACATGAGATGAGGCATTTTTAAAGAAGTCGTTTGGTTTCACATATAAATGAGAAAGATGGTCAAGTGTAAAACTAAATATATTGAGCTTTAAAAATGGCAACATCTGACCACACTCCTTTAACTGACACATTCTGGTTTAGACTGGCTTGCTGACGGTGGCCGGAGAGATTTGATGAGTTGAGTTATTCTTTTTAGAGTGACTTCCTATCGAACACTTCAGTCCAGTGTTAGATAGTTATCATAACTGGAAGATAAAAGATTCGATCTCCAGTCCCTGCAGTGTGCAGCAGTATTTTTGCAAATCACTGAAATCCCAGCTGTTTCCAATATATGAGTGAGAGAATATGCTGACAGAACAATAACAAAATAGCCACAAAAGTTTCATGTCAGAAATCCACTAGGTTTAACTCCTCCTACATTTCCTCTACAGGCTTTGAACTGTGCCCTTWTGGTTTTAATGCAGTTTGCTTTCAACATCTTCTCTTTGACACTTTCAGGTGAATGAAGTTTCTCACACTACTTCTGAACAAATCTGTTTGATCAGAGAGGATTTCACACGTCTGTTTACTTTCCATGGGAGGAACACAATGAACTGGATCATTGCAGTGACACTTTTCTGGCCAGGTGAGAAAAGTTTCTGTCTCATCATTTTGTCTGAAATGATTTAATTAAGAAATTTTACATAAATTTAGTTGCTCATTAGTCACCGCCACCTCTCCTTTTTTTGGCAATTCCAAACAGAAGCATCATAATTTCAATACTGGGAAAATTTCATGTATGCATCTCTGAAAGGATTCATCTAAATACAAGATCAACTAAACAGTCGGTTCACACTGTGGCTCTAATACTACAGTAAAGCATACCGTATTAAATTACTTTAAGTGTTTCAGTTCTTTATGTGCAGTATTTTCTCTCTTCACGTGCACGGTTCCCACAGACCACGGACTTTGTTACTTCTCTGTGAATAGCATACAGAAGTTTTTTTACCCTTAATTCTCCCTTAAGTTGATCGTATCTTTAGCAACATTCATATAAAAGGTGGTGTTCATTTTTCCTATAAGACTTAATGGGTGCCATGCTTGTGAAAACCTTTTACTGGAGTCAAAGGCTACAGCATTAAAACAGAAATTGATACAAAACAAAAAAACAAATGTCAGTTGTTTCAGTTCTGTGAAATGTTCTTAAAAATGCATACATGATCCATTTTACTGGGTGACTTCCATCCAGCCCGCCAAGAGACACCCCTCCCCCATTTTTTCTTTAATTTGAAAACTGTTTGAAAGGTAAATTTTAAATATATGATTCAACGTACATAAAAGGTGAAGGATACTACTTGTCCTGCCCCTGAGCTGTTCACTTTGGGTAACTGTCATGCCCTGGACAATTTAGTTACAGGTAGACCTGTTTTCATTTTTCAGAATAAGCTCCATTATGCATGTTGATTATGCATAGATAAGTGGAAGAGCTCAGAATTTAAGATTAACCACAGCTCAACGAGTAAAACTAGTATTTGTGTCATTTCACATTTAGCCAGTTGTACATTTCAGTGTTCATAAGGACGTGGTTTCTATGCAGGAAATAAAATGTAGAGCCCATATTGTTTGTTAGCAGTGCTCAGCTGTAGCAATCAGATGAACATGACATTTTCAGTTTAATGAAAGTATAAGTTGTCCTTTGAGGGCCACCATAACGCTCACATGGCCCTAGACGAAAATTTATCTGGCACTCAAACAAAATGTCTAAGCAGAGCAGAACCAAAAACGAACAGAAATTCTGGAGGTAGAGTACAAAGGTAAGTAATTTTATTTACAGTGTACATCACCGAGGAATCTCACAGCCGGGACACGACACCATCGGTCGTGCCCACCAGACACGAGCTTCCAAGCTCGTTTGTTGCTAGATCAAATCAAATTCACAGTTACTTCACTTATCTCGTGTGTCATTCACATTTGCACAGAAGACATATTTCCTTAAAATAAAAGAACCCTAAATAATTTCCTTATAACTTCCATTATAAGAGGTGTTAAGTGACTCATATTTTCTTAAAGGAGTACATATCACTTTCAGAAAGTGACCTTGCACACTTGTGTAATCTGTTAGCATTTGGGCTTTGTGCTAGGATGAGTCCCAGCTACTACCACAACAAATTTTAGCTCAATATCCGACTGATTTATACTCATTTTTGCATTTGCAAAGTTTGGCTATCAAAAGCCGTTTTGATTTAGGTTAACATCAGAAGAGAATCAAATGTAGATGTACCCCAATGATTAGCCCACCTTAAAGGTGCAAACTACTGTAAAACATGTACAATAGGTTGCCTTCAGGCCCAGGCMTCCCTTGAAAAAGAGATCTGAGATCTCAATGGGACTTGAAATAAATAAACAAATAAACTACTGTAAGTGTTATTTTCAGATATTGCATAACAAATGACAGTCTACCATACTGGTCTTTCATTTGTTGTGAAATACTGCTCTGAAAAGCACYAAGAGAACAAATTGAAGGAGCAACCATAATGTCAAAAAATAAATAAATAAAAAAAAGAAATGTATTAGTTCTATTTATTTATTTATTTATTTGTTTGTTATTGACTACAACAAAGCAAAGCATACTTGTAATGAATTCTGGTTTCTTATACCTTTGAAAGTGACATCACACAAACTCGTGTTTTGCTTTAGAGAAGGAGTGTGGCATTGAAGAGTGTTCCATACATTCTGGCTGGCTCCTGTCATACCTGCAGCTCATCGTCCTTGATGATCTCTGGGGCTTTTTAATGCACTCTACCATTTGGTTTTTGTAGGAGCATCATGCTWTCAGCTACTCATGTTAAGGCTGCTYATTTGTRGTACTTCTCTTGTTCCTCTCKGTGTCTATAAAGTTTCCCTGGATAATCCTGAGTGCCCCTGAGTCTCTGTTTCTGGAAGATTACTTGTTTGCTTGCCGCAGCCTGGATCGTCCAGGCTGTAAAGAAAATCTGCAGGTGAGTTAGGGATTTTCTGTGGCTCAGGCAGTCTGCAACTGAACAGCATTAAGGGTCGGTAGGGTAGGGTAAGTCCAGGAGCAGTTACAGGTGAGGTGCAAATGTTTGGTTCCAGGAGGCAGCTCAGGTAAGTACAAGAGGATTCTTCAGGCAAAGAGGCAGRTGAGTGTATGGGCCGAATCACTGAGCCAAAGTGCTGTTTCCCCGCGAGGAGAACAAAGCTGCTTCCATGCAGTTTTTCAACCGTGGTCCTCAAGGCACACTGCCCCGCATGTTTTAGAAGTTTCCCTGCTTTTACACACCTGATTCAGATGATTGCAGGTCAACAAAAGCTTGTTAGTCAGTCATAAATCAAAATCAGCTGTGCTGAAGCAGGGAAACATCTAAAACATGCAGGGCAGTGTTCCTTGAGGGCCAGGGTTGAAAAAACACTGAAGTAYGGAAGTGTGTCTCACTAACTCAGGGACGGCAGTTGTTAGTCACTAAAAACGATTAGTTCCTAGGTCTGCGCTTTGTTTGATAAGTTAACAGGGGGATTAGAAATGTTAATTCAGAGACTGTCGTCGCCATCTGGAACTACACTGACTATTGACATTTGTACGTCCTGTTGACCTGTAACTTCACACCGAAAAAATGAATTATTTCAACTCAAAACATTTGCAACATGATTCAGACAAATAAAACATTGGTGTTTTATATTAAAACTGAAACCATAATGATTATTAGTTAAGCAAGATTTTTTGACAGGAAAATCCATAACAGAGCTGAATCACAATTAAAAGGACGGATCTGCTCTCCTTCCTCGTGTAACTTTGATAAGAATTGTCCCTGATTATCAAATGCGTAAGAACTCTTAGTTAAAAGAAAAATAAATCAAAATAAAGGAAGTTATTCTGTTTATTATCTGATTAAGAAAAAGAAAATGTCTCTTTAACGGTTAAGATGACCTTTGTGGCCTAAATTCAGTTTAACTGGAACAGAAATCTGTCTGTCTTAAAGGGGCCCGTCAGAGGTCAAAGACGTTTATTGGTTATTCCACTTGGTGATCATTACAAAAAGATACTTTTATTTAAATAATACAGTACATATTTTAAGGTCACATCATCTCATGATGGTTTTAAATCAAATACATTGTCTGGATTCTCCTTGTTCCTCAGCATTTAAAGCTGCCCTTTGCCTTAACATTGAACCTGTGGCTTGGAAGTTCTTCAGCAACCGGGCTGCAGGTTTTGGCTACCAAGTGGTGCAGCGAGAAACAGAGTAAGTCAGAACACACAGTATGCATTCATTTTGATTTGTTCTTAATTTTTTTCAATACAGCTTGCAACTTTGATAAATGTGTGCTTTAGCTATAAGTTCAGAAACACACTTCCCACAAGCAAAAATAAGGATCTGTGCTCATCAACCAGTTACTCTCAGATGTTTGCTTGGTTTTGTTTCCTCAGTTTGCTCACCAGTGCTCCACTGGAACAATATTCAGCCACTGAAAGAGGAGAAATATTTCAGTGCATCAGCACCACTGAGAAATGTCACCCTCTGCCTCTTCCAGGTAGAAATGATTTTATTAACAATGTCCAAATACTTTTTTTTWAATTTCTGTACTAGTTTTTATTCAGTTTTATTCAAATGCAATTTGTCAAACATTTCTGTAGAGGAAAAAACAGCAGTCAACATGTCCTTCGGTTTGGCAATGACAAGTGATCCYACGACAAAGAACACTTTGGTGAGTTGGTGAACTGCAGAGAAGGCAACTAAAATTATCCTGGAAATTCAGTGTCACAGCTTGATGATGCAAAGTGTAAAACAATTACTTAAATAAATAATTTGTTTATTTAAAAAAACAATCAAGTAATCAACTTTTGTGATAAATTTTATTCTGTTTTTTTTTTTTAAGTTATGTGGACCAAGTGTTCCTAAAGACTGCAAAACCATCACCATGTACAACGGTGTCTGTATTGAGATAGCTCAACAGAATAGCTATGGAAAGTCTTATACAAATTCTGTTGAAGGTAAAATCTTAATTTTTTTTGATGAAGGTACAGTATTTAAGAACATAGATTTTGCTGCCATATGTCTGTTCACCTAAAATCAGCACACTGAAGATAAAAAAAAAGATTCAAAAATAATCTCTGCTGAGTGCTGACATCAGAGATATTAATCTCTCTCTAACTTTGTTTTTCCAGAGTGTGAAGATCAAGCAGATATTGCCCTCCTGCTGGATGGCTCAGGCAGTGTATMTGCAGAAGATTTTAATATAATGAAGACTTTTGTGACAAAACTAATTGGCGAATTACAGGGAAAACACACAAAGGTAAGGCACACATATATCCACACACATATTGTCTTTTCCATTCTCATGGGGACTTTGCATTGACTTCCATTCATTTTCCAGTCATTTCTACAGCCTAACCCTAACCGTTTACCGTGAACCCAAYCACCCCAGTACATACCTGACCCTAAACCTAGCCTWAACTCAACTCACATCTTAGTGGCAAACCTAACCCCCCACACAGACTTGTCCCCAGGATGTAGCAAAAACCTGTCCACACACACAAACACACATGGGCATGTATTACTTACTACATGCATGAAAATGGATATTAAAGATGACATAAACACGCTCACTGTTTACTTTTTAATTGCAAATTTTCAGTCTAGTGAAGTGKTCCTCAATCTTGGTCCTTGAGAGCTACTATCCAACATGTTTTAGCTGTTTCCTTGCTTCAGTACACCTTATTTGAATGAATGAGTGATTGACATGCTTCTGTAGAACTTGAAAACCCGGTGAAGTGCAGAGAAATAATTAAAACATCCAGGATAGTGGCTCTCAAGGACCAACATTGAGGACCACTAGTCCCTCTTCTCACTGAGCGATGACCTTTTAAAATATCAACCAGAATATAGTAATGTGTCATAAAGCATAATAAATCTATAATAGTTTGACCATTCACAAAAACATCTGTAGCAAGGTTGTGGTGGTTATGTCAGTGTGGCAGCTTATGCATGATACACACTTGTTGGGCATCATGTATTTGATACCAGACTGACCACTGCAAACCTGTAGGYAGTGGTGGGCACAGTTTCCCTAAAGCWCTAATAGGGAAATTAATTTCCTGATTAGTGCTTTAGGGCTTTTGCTAATTAAAAAAATTATAAGTGGATTAGCACTTGCTAAATTTATTGGCTAAATTTAGAAGCACTAAATCAGGTATTTAAATGTTATTAATCAACGTTAATGTCAACACCTGAAGGTGAAAGCTGTCACACATTATGTTCATATACAGTATGTGTCACTTATCCACTAGGTGACAATATATTGACAATATATGAACTATATGGCTGTGGAATAGAAATGATAAGTCTYAAGACAGCAACTTGGCAATATGTGACTCATGTTGTCTGAAGAATGTTCATGGGTTGACTTGTTTATTTTAGTGCTTTAGAATTAGCTTTTGCAAAAAGTTTCAGTGTGTTAGTGCTTTCGAATTAAGGGACCTAAATRTTTGAGTTAGTGCTTTAGGGATAGTATAACTAATTTTTAGATTAGTGCTGCCCACCACTGCCTATAGGTACGAACCCAGACAGCTTGTGACAGGAATAATGATAAGATCATGGAAGCAACTGAGATGTGTTACCTGTGTTGAAATTGTGGTTGGTTTTTAGGACCTTAGCTGTATTTTAATTCTAAGTATTAACTTCTTTTTTTTCCTKTGGGCAGTTTTCCATCACCCAGTTTTCAAAAATAGCCAAGATTCATTTTGACTTCCAATCATTTCCCACCAAAAACTGGGAACAAGCAATTGATAATATACAACAACTTGCTTCTGTAACCAACACAGCTGCAGCCATCAAAACTGTTGTGTAAGTATCTCTGTAATGAGAACATGTAGACTCTGAATTAAATAGATTTCAATCTGTGTTCGTGTTTAAATCTGTTACTCATTTTAATATGGAAGAAGTGATTTTTTTWAATGTTTCTGTTTGTTTTTCCTTATTTCCATMACACTTGATCCTCAGTTGTAATTGTCACAATTTTGTTTTCCTACAAATGTTTGAATGTYCCTTTTTTGTTTTTGAACTGAGAAAACATGAGACAAAGCACAGTCAAGAAAGGGTTGCCTTTGAATTAAACACTTGAGATAACACTTCCTGAAATCTATATCCATAAGTCAAATCAGCTGAAAACAATGTAAAAAAACTTGCAATACAAAACACATTTAAACAATATTTTTTATTTACAGGGAAGGTGTCTTCTCAACGTATCAAGGATCAAGGCAAAATGTGAAAAAGATTTTGATAGTCATTACAGATGGAAAATCTACTGACAGTAAAAATCTGCCGGCGGCATTAAAATTAGTCGAAGACAAAGGCATTACACGATTTTCTGTTGGGGTGAGAGTCATTTTTGTTTTTTCATGTAAGGCAGTGTTTCCCAAAGTTGGGGTCGGGACCCAAAGTGGGGTCCCGAAACATCAAGGTGGGGTCCTGAAAAGATTTTCTGAATTAATTACATTTTGTGCCTTAGTTGTTACAAAGTGTTAGGTTAGTAT